GGACACGTTTGCTGCCACAAAGAATAGGTCGGGAGCTATGGCCTCACGCATCTGGTTTCATCCCCCCAGTCCTTTGGATGCGGCCGGACGTAGAATCACACTCTGAGAGGCCGACTTGATTTAAATAAACGTCGTCGGGAACCTTGTACCTGTAGAGGTAGACGCGTGCCTGGTTTTGGTGAACTTCCCGCCTGACACATCCTTGGGTAGCCTGGAAGGTTCTTCATTGCTCTCTGTGTTGTTTACAAGACAATGGAACGACCTTAAGCGATGCTCTCCTTTACGCGTCTGCTATTTGCCTGGTTAGGGCCGAGCTGCCCCGTGAAGCGTGACCCCAAACCACGCTGCAGCCAGTGAGCACTGTTTGCCCGCTACCAATCCCGTCACCCGCTGGGGTGGGCTGCAGAAAAAAAACCCGCCTCCAGACTACAAACAGACGAAAGCCACATGAGCGAAAAAAAAACCCCCCGCCCCCCCGGGGGGGCCACCCCGGGGTGAACGGGTCACGTCATGTGGAGGGTATAGGCTTACTCCACCTCACCCCACCCCCACCGACCTCACCGGGATCAATATTAGGATTAGTGGTGGAGGGAATTGTATCTTAGATTGTATGTGACCGCCGGGGGGGGGGGGGGGGGGGGGGGGGGGGTTTTAGGGGGGGACGGTAGTTAGTGTGGGTTTGTACATACGTTGTCTATCCCGTGTTTCTCTAGGTTCCCCGCAACATGGTGCAGGCGGTTTACGTAGGTCGTTGTCCGGGGGTCGGCATGAGTAACGGGTTAGCGTGGGTAAGGGTGGGGGGTCCGGGTGGGGGGGGTTGGGGGGCGCACGGGGAGTATTAATAGGTCCGGGGGGGGGGGATCAGGGAGGGGGGGGAGAGGCCTAGGAATCCGGGGGATGTGGGAAGGGGAGGGAGGCAGCACCCCTGTATGGCAGGTAGGCTCGGGGCGCCTGGGGTGTGGGGACAGTGTGGAGTAGGGTGGGGGTCGGGGCCCGAGGGGGTGGGGGGGCCGGGGGGGGGGTCACGAGGGGCGGGGGGAGGGAACGGTGGTCCGGGGAGGGAGACGGTGGGGGGGGGGGGGGGCGGGGAGGGAGGGACTGGGGGGGGGGGGGGGGGGGGGGGGGGGGGTGATGGGTTCAGGGAACCGAAAAGACGAGGGGAGGGGGGGGGGGGGGAGAAGGAGAGAGGAGGGAGGGGCGATGACGGGTAGGGGGATCGGGTGGGAGGGAACGAATACGAGGGGCAACGAGGGGGGGGGGGGTGGAGGGGGGGGGGGGGGGCGGGCGGGGGGAGGGGGGGAGGGTGGGGGGGGGGGGGGGGGGGGCCAAGATCTCTGGGACGAGGGGGGGGGAAAGGTAGGGGGGGGGGGGGGGGGGGGGGGGGAGAGACGGAGGAACAAGAGGGGGACCGCGCTCCCCTGTATTTCCCCCGCCCCGCCGGCTGCCCCCCCGCGCTCCCCCCCCGCCCCAGCGTCCCCCCCGTGCCCCCTGGCGGGACACCGCTCGGGAGGGGGCATTGGCGGCTTTTGTGCAGGGGCGCGGGGCCCCGCGGGTATCGCCGCGTGCCGGGCGGGGGGCAGTCTGGCTGTCGCTTAGGGGGGGGAGGCAAAGAGATGTCGAGCGCCAAATCGGGATAGGGACAGGGAATGAGGGACGCGATCTGATTGAGGGGTAAGGGGTTTGCGAGGGGGTGTAGGTCATGGGGGGGGGGTGACGCGACCGCAAGAGGGGAAGGGACGCGGGGTCGGGAAGCGAGACTGGGACTCCTAGAGACCAAAAGGGCAGGGGGTGAGTAGCCGAAATATTCGAACAAAAAGGCCCGCCCTAGTAGGAAAGAATGGGCAAGAGAGTTCGAGCACCCCTGTGTATTCTCCCCTCCCCCCCACCCTTTTATCAATACGCTTCCCCTCTCACTACACTTTCCTTTCTACTTTTTGTCATTCCTGCCACCCCTACCTCCCCCTAGCCAACCAACAAAAAGCAAAAAACATAAAAAAAACAAAAAATAAAACAAAAACCAACAAAAAAAAGAAAAAAAAAAAAATAAACAAAAAAAAAAAAAAAAAAACAAATTACCAACACGCCCCCCTGCCCACAACCCCCCCCCCACCATACAAAAACTAAAACCCTACGACCCGCTACCCCACTCCAAACCAAGCAAACCCCCACCCACCTAACCCACCCACACCGACTAAATCACTTCTGCCCATAGCCAACCACAGCCCACCTTAACCAGACGCTCTCGCGCCGCGCCCCAACGTCCCAACCCTCTAACACAACACACGACAAAGCCCAGCCATCAAGCCCCAAGCTCCAAACAAACCATATCCAGCACCGCGCACACACACCACCACACGCAAACATACAAAAAACCTACGCGACGCCCCCCCCCCCACACAACCCCTCCTAACCCCAAACATCCCCGCCCCGCCCAGAATCCGCAACCACCCACACCCGCACCTCCTGGCCCCCCCAACCACCAACCCCCCCCCCCCACCCCCCACCGCCCCCCCCCCCACCACGCCATTACCTATCCCCAAACCTACCGTCAAATCCCCACACGCAAACCCCCCCCTTACCCCCCCCAAGCAACACAACAAACCTACAACCCCCAACCCACCCCACAATACATCCAACCCAGACCCGCCAACAAACCCACCCACCCATCGAGCACCCCGACCACACTTACACAGACACACGCACTTACCACAACCAAAAACACACTCTACCCCATACACCCATCCCCTCACCACCCCCCCCCTCCACCCACGCCCAAACCCCCTGCCCATCACACACACCCCCCCACCCGCCACCCCCACCCCACCCCCACCAAACACCACACCCAACCACACTCTGCACCCACCCTTATCCCCCCCCTCCCCCAATTGCCCATTCCCACCCGCAACACATTCACCCCACCCCCCCACCCCCAACCCCCCCCCCCCCCTCCGCCCCCCCCCACCCCCCCATTCCCCCCGGCGGAGGCGGCGCGGGGCCGGGGCGGGGGGCGCGCGGGGTGTGCCGTGAGCTGGGGGCCCGGGCCGAAGCGGGGGGCGTGGGTGCAGGCGGGGGATGCCCCGGCGGGGCCGCGGTGCGGGGTGCGGCTTCCACGCGCGCGGCCGCCTCCGGGCCGGGGGGGGCCGCTGCGCCGGCCGGAAGGAGGCCGGGAGTGCTGCGGGGGGGCGTTGGCGGACTACGGCGCGGGAGGGGGGGGGGGGCCGCAGTACACCGCGGCGCCCGGGTCGCCGTGGTGGGTGTGCCCGCCGCCCGGGGGGCCGCGTACGCCGAGGGTCAGGGATGCGTCTTACGGGGAGCCGGGTCCCGTCGGCCGGAGAGGCCGTCCCCGGCGGCGCGCGGGGGGGGGGTGGTCCCCGGTGACGGATCCCTGATTGTGCGCCACAAGGGCGGGGCGGCTCGCCGCACGGGGCAGAGTCGTGGCCAGGAACGGCGCGGTGTGGGTAGCGGGGCGGTGGGGGGGGGGCATGGGGCTGGGTAGGCGGGGCTCCGGGCGAGGGGCGGACGCGCGGGGGCTTAGTGGGGGCGGCCGCCCGTCCAGGCTTTGGGGGGTTGCCCGTGCCGGCTCGTCCCGGGTCGCATGGGAGTGGGCGGCGGGAGGCAAGGGGGGCTGCGGGTAGCGGGGGGGAGAGGACGCCACCGGGGGGTGGCCGGTGGGTCCGGAGGTGCCTCGGCCATGACGTATCCGCTACTTGACCCTGGGCGCGGGCCGGCTGTGTGGGGGTAGCGGGGGGCGGGGAGGGTCGGCTAATGGTACGGTGGTCGGCGGGGAAGCTATGTGGGGGGGCCCGATGAGGGGGCTGGAGGAGACAGGGAAAATTCGCGTGTGGGAGAAGAGCGAGTCGGGGGGGGGGGTAGGGGGGCGCTACGGGCGGGGGGGGGCGGGTGGGGCGGGTGGGGAGCGGGGGGGCTGGGGTGGGTGGCCCGGGAGGCATGCGAAGTGGGCCAGCCGGGTGGGGGAGGGGGGGAGGAGTTGAGGGGGGGGTCGCCGCGGGGGGTGCGGGGGGGGTAGGAGGGGGGGGGGAGGTGGGCGGGGGGGAGGGGGGGAACGGTGTTGGAGGGTGGGGACGGGGAGGGGGATGGCCCCTCCGCCGAGCGGCAGACTTGATCCGCGGAGGGGGGGGGAGGTTGGGGGGGCTTTGGGGCGGTGGGCGGAGGTGCGTGTGGGGGGTGCGCGGGGGGAGACAGGTGGTGGAGGGCGGGGGGTGGTGGGAGCGGGGCGTGGCGGTCGGGGGGGGGGTTGGAGGATGGGTAGTCGTGGTCAGGGTGCGGGGGGGCGGGGGGGGGGGGGGGGGGGGGGGGGGGGGGGGGGTGGGGGGGGGGGGGGGGGGGGGGGGGCGGGGGGGGGGGGGGGCGGGGGGGGGGGGGAGGGGGGGGGGGGGCCGGGGGGGGGGGGGGGGGGGGGGGGGGGGGGGGGGGGGGGGGGGGGGGGGGGGGGGGGGGGGGGGGGGGGTGGGGGGGGGGGGGGGGGGGCGGGGGGGGGGGGGGGGGGGGGGGGGGGGGGGGGGGGGGGGGGGGGGGGGGGGGGGCGGGGGGGGGGCGGGGGGGGGGGGGGGGGGGGGGGGGGGGGGGGGGGGGGCGGGGGGGGGGGGGGGCGGGGGGGGGGGGGGGGGGGGGGGGGGGGGGGGGCGGGGGGGGGGCGGGGGGGGGGGGGGCGGGGCGGGGGGGGGGGGGGGGGGGGGGGGCGGGGGGGGGGGGGGGGGGGGGGGGGGGGGGGGGGGGGGGGGGGGGGGGGGGGGGGGGGGGGGGGGGGGGGGGGGGGGGGGGCGGGGGGGGGGGGGGGGGGGGGGGGGGGGGGGGGGGGGGGGGGGGGGGGGGGGGGGGGGGGGGGGGGGGGGGGGGGGGGGGGGGGGGCGGGGGGGGGGGGGGGGGGGGGGGGGGGGGGGGGGGGGGGGGGGGGGGGGGGGGGGGGGGGGGGGGGGGGGGGCGGGGGGGGGGGGGGGGGGGGGGGGGGGGGGGGGGCGGGGGGGGGGGGGGGGGGGGGGGGGGGGGGGGGGGGGGGGGGGGGGGGGGGGGGGGGGGGGGGGGGGGGGGGGGGGGGGGGGGGGGGGGGGGGGGGGGGGGGGGGGGGGGGGGGGGGGGGGGGGGGGGGGGGGGGGGGGGGGGGGGGGGGGGGGGGGGGGGGGGGGGGGGGGGGGGGGGGGGGGGGGGGGGCGGGGGGGGGGGGGGGGGGGGGGGGGGCGGGGGGGGGGGGGGGGGGGGGGGGGGGGGGGGGGGGGGGGGGGGGGGGGGGGGGGGGGGGGGGGGGGGGGGGGGGGGGGGGGGGGGGGGGGGGGGGGGGGGGGGGGGGGGGGGGGGGGGGGGGGGGGGGGGGGGGGGGGGGGGGGGGGGGGGGGGGGGGGGGGGGGGGGGGCGGGGGGGGGGGGGGGGGGGGGGGGGGGGGGGGGGGGGGGGGGGGGGGGGGGGGGGGGGGGGGGGGGGGGGGGGGGGGGGGGGGGGGGGGGGGGGGGGGGGGGGGGGGGGGGGGGGGGGGGGGGGGGGGGGGGGGGGGGGGGGGGGGGGGGGGGGGGGCGGGGGGGGGGGGGGGGGGGGGGGGGGGGGGGGGGGGGGGGGGGGGGGGGGGGGGGGGGGGGGGGGGGGGGGGGGGGGGGGGGGGGGGGGGGGGGGGGGGGGGGGGGGGGGGGGGGGGGGGGGGGGGGGGGGGGGGGGGGGGGGGGGGGGGGGGGGGGGGGGGGGGGGGGGGGGGGGGGGGGGGGGGGGGGGGGGGGGGGGGGGGGGGGGGGGGGGGGGGGGGGGGGGGGGGGGGGGGGGGGGGGGGGGGGGGGGGGGGGGGGGGGGGGGGGGGGGGGGGGGGGGGGGGGGCGGGGGGGGGGGGGGGGGGGGGGGGGGGGGGGGGGGGGGGGGGGGGGGGGGGGGGGGGGGGGGGGGGGGGGGGGGGGGGGGGGGGGGGGGGGGGGGGGGGGGCGGGGGGGGGGGGGGGGGGGGGGGGGGGGGGGGGGGGGGGGGGGGGGGGGGGGGGGGGGGGGGGGGGGGGGGGGGGGGGGGGGGGGGGGGGGGGGGGGGGGGGGGGGGGGGGGGGGGGGGGGGGCGGGGGGGGGGGGGGGGGGGGGGGGGGGGGGGGGGGGGGGGGGGGGGGGGGGGGGGGGGGGGGGGGGGGGGGGGGGGGGGGGGGGGGGGGGGGGGGGGGGGGGGGGGGGGGGGGGGGGGGGGGGGGGGGGGGGGGGGGGGGGCGGGGGGGGGGGGGGGGGGGGGGGGGGGGGGGGGGGGGGGGGGGGGGGGGGGGGGGGGGGGGGGGGGGGGGGGGGGGGGGGGGGGGGGGGGGGGGGGGGGGGGGGGGGGGGGGGGGGCGGGGGGGGGGGGGGGGGGGGGGGGGGGGGGGGGGGGGGGGGGGGGGGGGGGGGCGGGGGGGGGGGGGGGGGGGGGGGGGGGGGGGGGGGGGGGGGGGGGGGGGGGGGGGGGGGGGGGGGGGGGGGGGGGGGGGGGGGGGGGGGGGGGGGGGGGGGGGGGGGGGGGGGGGGGGGGGGGGGGGGGGGGGGGGGGGGGGGGGGGGGGGGGGGGGGGGGGGGGGGGGGGGGGGGGGGGGGGGGGGGGGGGGGGGGGGGGGGGGGGGGGGGGGGGGGGGGGGGGGGGGGGGGGGGGGGGGGGGGGGGGGGGGGGGGGGGGGGGGGGGGGGGGGGGGGGGGGGGGGGGGGGGGGGGGGGGGGGGGGGGGGGGGGGGGGGGGGGGGGGGGGGGGGGGGGGGGGGGGGGGGGGGGGGGGGGGGGGGGGGGGGGGGGGGGGGGGGGGGGGGGGGGGGGGGGGGGGGGGGGGGGGGGGGCGGGGGGGGGGGGGGGGGGGGGGGGGGGGGGGGGGCGGGGGGGGGGGGGGGGGGGGGGGGGGGGGGGGGGGGGGGGGGGGGGGGGGGGGGGGGGGGGGGGGGGGGGGGGGGGGGGGGGGGGGGGGGGGGGGGGGGGGGGGGGGGGGGGGGGGGGGGGGGGGGGGGGGGGGGGGGGGGGGGGGGGGGGGGGGGGGGGGGGGGGGGGGGGGGGGGGGGGCGGGGGGGGGGGGGGGGGGGGGGGGGGGGGGGGGGGGGGGGGGGGGGGGGGGGGGGGGGGGGGGGGGGGGGGGGGGGGGGGGGGGGGGGGGGGGGGGGGGGGGGGGGGGGGGGGGGGGGGGGGGGGGGGGGGGGGGGGGGGGGGGGCGGGGGGGGGGGGGGGGGGGGGGGGGGGGGGGGGGGGGGGGGGGGGGGGGGGGGGGGGGGGGGGGGGGGGGGGGGGGGGGGGGGGGGGGGGGGGGGGGGGGGGGGGGGGGGGGGGGGGGGGGGGGGGGGGGGGGGGGGGGGGGGGGGGCGGGGGGGGGGGGGGGGGGGGGGGGGGGGGGGGGGGGGGGGGGGGGGGGGGGGGGGGGGGGGGGGGGGGGGGGGGGGGGGGGGGGGGGGGGGGGGGGGGGGGGGGGGGGGGGGGGGGGGGGGGGGGGGGGGGGGGGGGGGGGGGGGGGGGGGGGGGGGGGGGGGGGGGGGGGGGGGGGGGGGGGGGGGGGGGGGGGGGGGGGGGGGGGGGGGGGGGGGGGGGGGGGGGGGGGGGGGGGGGGGGGGGGGGGGGGGGGGGGGGGGGGGGGGGGGGGGGGGGGGGGGGGGGGGGGGGGGGGGGGGGGGGGGGGGGGGGGGGGGGGGGGGGGGGGGGGGGGGGGGGGGGGGGGGGGGGGGGGGGGGGGGGGGGGGGGGGGGGGGGGGGGCGGGGGGGGGGGGGGGGGGGGGGGGGGGGGGGGGGGGGGGGGGGGGGGGGCGGGGGGGGGGGGGGGGGGGGGGGGGGGGGGGGGGGGGGGGGGGGGGGGGGGGGGGGGGGGGGGGGGGGGGGGGGGGGGGGGGGGGGGGGGGGGGGGGGGGGGGGGGGGGGGGGGGGGGGGGGGGGGGGGGGGGGGGGGGGGGGGGGGGGGGGGGGGGGGGGGGGGGGGGGGGGGGGGGGGGGGGGGGGGGGGGGGGGGGGGGGGGGGGGGGGGGGGGGGGGGGGGGGGGGGGGGGGGGGGGGGGGGGGGGGGGGGGGGGGGGGGGGGGGGGGGGGGGGGGGGGGGGGGGGGGGGGGGGGGGGGGGGGGGGGGGGGGGGGGGGGGGGGGGGGGGGGGGGGGGGGGGGGGGGGGGGGGGGGGGGGGGGGGGGGGGGGGGGGGGGGGGGGGGGGGGGGGGGGGGGGGGGGGGGGGGGGGGGGGGGGGGGGGGGGGGGGGGGGGGGGGGGGGGGGGGGGGGGGGGGGGGGGGGGGGGGGGGGGGGGGGGGGGGGGGGGGGGGCGGGGGGGGGGGGGGGGGGGGGGGGGGGGGGGGGGGGGGGGGGGGGGGGGGGGGGGGGGGGGGGGGGGGGCGGGGGGGGGGGGGGGGGGGGGGGGGGGGGGGGGGGGGGGGGGGGGGGGGGGGGGGGGGGGGGGGGGGGGGGGGGGGGGGGGGGGGGGGGGGGGGGGGGGGGGGGGGGGGGGGGGGGGGGGGGGGGGGGGGGGGGGGGGGGGGGGGGGGGGGGGGGGGGGGGGGGGGGGGGGGGGGGGGGGGGGGGGGGGGGGGGGGGGGGGGGGGGGGGGGGGGGGGGGGGGGGGGGGGGGGGGGGGGGGGGGGGGGGGGGGGGGGGGGGGGGGGGGGGGGGGGGGGGGGGGGGGGGGGGGGGGGGGGGGGGGGGGGGGGGCGGGGGGGGGGGGGGGGGGGGGGGGGGGGGGGGGGGGGGGGGGGGGGGGGGGGGGGGGGGGGGGGGGGGGGGGGGGGGGGGGGGGGGGGGGGGGGGGGGGGGGGGGGGGCGGGGGGGGGGGGGGGGGGGGGGGGGGGGGGGGGGGGGGGGGGGGGGGGGGGGGGGGGGGGGGGGGGGGGGGGGGGGGGGGGGGGGGGGGGGGGGGGGGGGGGGGGGGGGGGGGGGGGGGGGGGGGGGGGGGGGGGGGGGGGGGGGGGGGGGGGGGGGGGGGGGGGGGGGGGGGGGGGGGGGGGGGGGGGGGGGGGGGGGGGGGGGGGGGGGGGGGGGGGGGGGGGGGGGGGGGGGGGGGGGGGGGGGGGGGGGGGGGGGGGGGGGGGGGGGGGGGGGGGGGGGGGGGGGGGGGGGGGGGGGGGGCGGGGGGGGGGGGGGGGGGGGGGGGGGGGGGGGGGGGGGGGGGGGGGGGGGGGGGGGGGGGGGGGGGGGGGGGGGGGGGGGGGGGGGGGGGGGGGGGGGGGGGGGGGGGGGGGGGGGGGGGGGGGGGGGGGGGGGGGGGGGGGGGGGGGGGGGGGGGGGGGGGGGGGGGGGGGGGGCGGGGGGGGGGGGGGGGGGGGGGGGGGGGGGGGGGGGGGGGGGGGGGGGGGGGGGGGGGGGGGGGGGGGGGGGGGGGGGGGGGGGGGGGGGGGGGGGGGGGGGGGGGGGGGGGGGGGGGGGGGGGGGGGGGGGGGGGGGGGGGGGGGGGGGGGGGGGGGGGGGGGGGGGGGGGGGGGGCGGGGGGGGGGGGGGGGGGGGGGGGGGGGGGGGGGGGGGGGGGGGGGGGGGGGGGGGGGGGGGGGGGGGGGGGGGGCGGGGGGGGGGGGGGGGGGGGGGGGGGGGGGGGGGGGGGGGGGGGGGGGGGGGGGGGGGGGGGGGGGGGGGGGGGGGGGGGGGGGGGGGGGGGGGGGGGGGGGGGGGGGGGGGGGGGGGGGGGGGGGGGGGGGGGGGGGGGGGGGGGGGGGGGGGGGGGGGGGGGGGGGGGGGGGGGGGGGGGGGGGGGGGGGGGGGGGGGGGGGGGGGGGGGGGGGGGGGGGGGGGGGGGGGGGGGGGGGGGGGGGGGGGGGGGGGGGGGGGGGGGGGGGGGGGGGGGGGGGGGGGGGGGGGGGGGGGGGGGGGGGGGGGGGGGGGGGGGGGGGGGGGGGGGGGGGGGGGGGGGGGGGGGGGGGGGGGGGGGGGGGGGGGGGGGGGGGGGGGGGGGGGGGGGGGGGGGGGGGGGGGGGGGGGGGGGGGGGGGGGGGGGGGGGGGGGGGGGGGGGCGGGGGGGGGGGGGGGGGGGGGGGGGGGGGGGGGGGGGGGGGGGGGGGGGGGGGGGGGGGGGGGGGGGGGGGGGGGGGGGGGGGGGGGGGGGGGGGGGGGGGGGGGGGGGGGGGGGGGGGGGGGGGGGGGGGGGGGGGGGGGGGGGGGGGGGGGGGGGGGGGCGGGGGGGGGGGGGGGGGGGGGGGGGGGGGGGGGGGGGGGGGGGGGGGGGGGGGGGGGGGGGGGGGGGGGGGGGGGGGGGGGGGGGGCGGGGGGGGGGGGGGGGGGGGGGGGGGGGGGGGGGGGGGGGGGGGGGGGGGGGGGGGGGGGGGGGGGGGGGGGGGGGGGGGGGGGGGGGGGGGGGGGGGGGGGGGGGGGGGGGGGGGGGGGGGGGGGGGGGGGGGGGGGGGGGGGGGGGGGGGGGGGGGGGGGGGGGGGGGGGGGGGGGGGGGGGGGGGGGGGGGGGGGGGGGGGGGGGGGGGGGGGGGGGGGGGGGGGGGGGGGGGGGGGGGGGGGGGGGGGGGGGGGGGGGGGGGGGGGGGGGGGGGGGGGGGGGGGGGGGGGGGGGGGGGGGGGGGGGGGGGGGGGGGGGGGGGGGGGGGCGGGGGGGGGGGGGGGGGGGGGGGGGGGGGGGGGGGGGGGGGGGGGGGGGGGGGGGGGGGGGGGGGGCGGGGGGGGGGGGGGGGGGGGGGGGGGGGGGGGGGGGGGGGGGGGGGGGGGGGGGGGGGGGGGGGGGGGGGGGGGGGGGGGGGGGGGCGGGGGGGGGGGGGGGGGGGGGGGGGGGGGGGGGGGGGGGGGGGGGGGGGGGGGGGGGGGGGGGGGGGGGGGGGGGGGGGGGGGGGGGGGGGGGGGGGGGGGGGGGGGGGGGGGGGGGGGGGGGGGGGGGGGGGGGGGGGGGGGGGGGGGGGGGGGGGGGGGGGGGGGGGGGGGGGGGGGGGGGGGGGGGGGGGGGGGGGGGGGGGGGGGGGGGGGGGGGGGGGGGGGGGGGGGGGGGGGGGGGGGGGGGGGGGGGCGGGGGGGGGGGGGGGGGGGGGGGGGGGGGGGGGGGGGGGGGGGGGGGGGGGGGGGGGGGGGGGGGGGGGGGGCGGGGGGGGGGGGGGGGGGGGGGGGGGGGGGGGGGGGGGGGGGGGGGGGGGGGGGGGGGGGGGGGGGGGGGGGGGGGGGGGGGGGGGGGGGGGGGGGGGGGGGGGGGGGGGGGGGGGGGGGGGGGGGGGGGGGGCGGGGGGGGGGGGGGGGGGGGGGGGGGGGGGGGGGGGGGGGGGGGGGGGGGGGGGGGGGGGGGGGGGGGGGGGGGGGGGGGGGGGGGGGGGGGGGGGGGGGGGGGGGGGGGGGGGGGGGGGGGGGGGGGGGGGGGGGGGGGGGGGGGGGGGGGGGGGGGGGGGGGGGGGGGGGGGGGGGGGGGGGGGGGGGGGGGGGGGGGGGGGGGGGGGGGGGGGGGGGGGGGGGGGGGGGGGGGGGGGGGGGGGGGGGGGGGGGGGGGGGGGGGGGGGGGGGGGGGGGGGGGGGGGGGGGGGGGGGGGGGGGGGGGGGGGGGGGGGGGGGGGGGGGGGGGGGGGGGGGGGGGGGGGGGGGGGGGGGGGGGGGGGGGGGGGGGGGGGGGGGGGGGGGGGGGGGGGGGGGGGGGGGGGGGGGGGGGCGGGGGGGGGGGGGGGGGGGGGGGGGGGGGGGGGGGGGGGGGGGGGGGGGGGGGGGGGGGGGGGGGGGGGGGGGGGGGGGGGGGGGGGGGGCGGGGGGGGGGGGGGGGGGGGGGGGGGGGGGGGGGGGGGGGGGGGGGGGGGGGGGGGGGGGGGGGGGGGGGGGGGGGGGGGGGGGGGGGGGGGGGGGGGGGGGGGGGGGGGGGGGGGGGGGGGGGGGGGGGGGGGGGGGGGGGGGGGGGGGGGGGGGGGGGGGGGGGGGGGGGGGGGGGGGGGGGGGGGGGGGGGGGGGGGGGGGGGGGGGGGGGGGGGGGGGGGGGGGGGGGGGGGGGGGGGGGGGGGGGGGGGGGGGGGGGGGGGGGGGGGGGGGGGGGGGGGGGGGGGGGGGGGGGGGGGGGGGGGGGGGGGGGGGGGGGGGGGGGGGGGGGGGGGGGGGGGGGGGGGGGGGGGGGGGGGGGGGGGGGGGGGGGGGGGGGGGGGGGGGGGGGGGGGGGGGGGGGGGGGGGGGGGGGGGGGGGGGGGGGGGGGGGGGGGGGGGGGGGGGGGGGGGGGGGGGGGGGGGGGGGGGGGGGGGGGGGGGGGCGGGGGGGGGGGGGGGGGGGGGGGGGGGGGGGGGGGGGGGGGGGGGGGGGGGGGGGGGGGGGGGGGGGGGGGGGGGGGGGGGGGGGGGGGGGGGGGGGGGGGGGGGGGGGGGGGGGGGGGGGGGGGGGGGGGGGGGGGGGGGGGGGGGGGGGGGGGGGGGGGGGGGGGGGGGGGGGGGGGGGGGGGGGGGGGGGGGGGGGGGGGGGGGGGGGGGGGGGGGGGGGGGGGGGGGGGGGGGGGGGGGGGGGGGGGGGGGGGGGGGGGGGGGGGGGGGGGGGGGGGGGGGGGGGGGGGGGGGGGGGGGGGGGGCGGGGGGGGGGGGGGGGGGGGGGGGGGGGGGGGGGGGGGGGGGGGGGGGGGGGGGGGGGGGGGGGGGGGGGGGGGGGGGGGGGGGGGGGGGGGGGGGGGGGGGGGGGGGGGGGGGGGGGGGGGGGGGGGGGGGGGGGGGGGGGGGGGGGGGGGGGGGGGGGGGGGGGGGGCGGGGGGGGGGGGGGGGGGGGGGGGGGGGGGGGGGGGGGGGGGGGGGGGGGGGGGGGGGGGGGGGGGGGGGGGGGGGGGGGGGGGGGGGGGGGGGGGGGGGGGGGGGGGGGGGGGGGGGGGGGGGGGGGGGGGGGGGGGGGGGGGGGGGGGGGGGGGGGGGGGGGGGGGGGGGGGGGGGGGGGGGGGGGGGGGGGGGGGGGGGGGGGGGGGGGGGGGGGGGGGGGGGGGGGGGGGGGGGGGGGGGGGGGGGGGGGGGGGGGGGGGGGGGGGGGGGGGGGGGGGGGGGGGGGGGGGGGGGGGGGGGGGGGGGGGGGGGGGGGGGGGGGGGGGGGGGGGGGGGGGGGGGGGGGGGGGGGGGGGGGGGGGGGGGGGGGGGGGGGGGGGGGGGGGGGGGGGGGGGGGGGGGGGGGGGGGGGGGGGGGGGGGGGGGGGGGGGGGGGGGGGGGGGGGGGGGGGGGGGGGGGGGGGGGGGGGGGGGGGGGGGGGGGGGGGGGGGGGGGGGGGGGGGGGGGGGGGGGGGGGGGGGGGGGGGGGGGGGGGGGGGGGGGGGGGGGGGGGCGGGGGGGGGGGGGGGGGGGGGGGGGGGGGGGGGGGGGGGGGGGGGGGGGGGGGGGGGGGGGGGGGGGGGGGGGGGGGGGGGGGGGGGGGGGGGGGGGGGGGGGGGGGGGGGGGGGGGGGGGGGGGGGGGGGGGGGGGGGGGGGGGGGGGGGGGGGGGGGGGGGGGGGGGGGGGGGGGGGGGGGGGGCGGGGGGGGGGGGGGGGGGGGGGGGGGGGGGGGGGGGGGGGGGGGGGGGGGGGGGGGGGGGGGGGGGGGGGGGGGGGGGGGGGGGGGGGGGGGGGGGGGGGGGGGGGGGGGGGGGGGGGGGGGGCGGGGGGGGGGGGGGGGGGGGGGGGGGGGGGGGGGGGGGGGGGGGGGGGGGGGGGGGGGGGGGGGGGGGGGGGGGGGGGGGGGGGGGGGGGGGGGGGGGGGGGGGGGGGGGGGGGGGGGGGGGGGGGGGGGGGGGGGGGGGGGGGGGGGGGGGGGGGGGGGGGGGGGGGGGGGGGGGGGGGGGCGGGGGCGGGGCGGGGGGGGGGGGGGGGGGGGGGGCGGGGCGGGGGGGGGGGGGGGGGGGCCGGGGGGGGGCGGGGGGGGGGGGGGGGGGGGGGGGGGGGGGGGGGGGGGGGGGGGGGGGGGGGGGGGGGCGGGGGGGGGGGGGGCGGGGGGGGGGGGGGGCGGGGGGGGGGGGGGGGGACCGGGGGAGGGGCGGGGGCGGGAGGGCGGGGGGGGGGGGGCGCGGGGGGGGGGGGGCGGGGGGGGGGGGGGGGGGGGGGGGGGGGAGGGGGGGGGGGGGGAGGGGCGGGGGGCGGGGGGGGGGGCGGGGGGGGGGGGCCGGGGTGTGGGGGGGGGGGGGCGGGGGGCGCGGGGGGGGGCGGAGGAGGGGGGGGGGGGGGGGGGGGGCGCGGGGGGGGGGGGGGGTGGGCGCGGCGGGGGGGGGGGGGGGGGGCGGGGGGGGGGCGGGGGCGCGGGGGGGGGGGGGGGGGGGGCGCGGGGGCGGGTGGGGGTGGGCGGGGGGGGGGGGGGTGGGGGGGGGGCGCGCGGGCGGGGGGGGGGGGGGGGGGGGGGGGGCGGGGGCGGGGGGGGGGGGGGGGGCGGGCGGGGGGGTGGCGGGGGGCTGGGGGGGGGGGCGGGGGGGGGGGGGGGGGCGGGGGGGGGGGGGGGGAGGGTGGGGGGGCGAGGGGGGGCGGGGGGGGGGGGGGGGGGCGGGGGCGGGGGGGGGGGGGGGGCAGGGGGGGGGAGTGGGGGCGGCGGGGGGGGGGGGGGGGGGGGCGGGGGGGGGGGGAGGGGGGCGGGGCCGGGGCGGAGGGCCGGGGGGGGCGGGGGGGGGGCGGGTCGGGGGCGGGGCGGGGGCGGGCGGGGGGGGGGGCGGGGGGGGGGGGGGGGGAGGCGGGGGGGGGGGGGCGGGGGGGGGCGGGGGGGGCGGGGGAGGGGGCGGGGGGGGGGTGGGGGGGGGGGGGGGGGGGGGGAGGGCGGGGGGGGGCGGGGGCGGGGGGGTGGGGGGGCGGGGCAGGAGGGGTGGGGGCGGGGGGGGGGGGGGGGGGCCGAGGCGGGGGGGGGCGGGCGGGGGGGGTGGGGGGGGGGGGGGGGGGGGCGGGGGGGGGGGGGGGGGGGGGGGCGGGGGGGGGGGGGGGGGGGGGGGGGGGCGGGGGGGGGGGGGGTGGGGGGGGGGGGGGGGGGGGGCGGGGGGGGGGGGGGGCGGGGGGCGGGGGGTAGGGGGGGGGGGGGGGGGGCGGGGGGCGGGAGGGGGGGGGGGGCGGGGGGGGGGCGGGGGGGGGGGGGGCGTGGGGGGAGGGGGGGGGGGGCGGGGGGGGGGGGGGGGCGGGGGGGGGCGGGGGGGGGGGGGGGCGGGGGGGGCGGGGGGGGGGGTGGGGCGGGGGGGGGCGGCGGGGGGGGGGGGGGGGGGGGCGGGGGGGGGCGGGGGGGGGGCGGGGGGGGGGGGGGGGGGGAGGGGGGGGGGGGGGGGGGGGGGCGGGGGCGTGGCGGCGGGGCGGGGGGGGGGGGGGCGGGGGGGCGGGGAGGGGGGGGGGGGGCGTGGGGGGTGGCGGGGGGAGGGGGGGGGGGGGGGGGGGGGGTGTGGGAGGGCGGGGGGGGGGGGGGGGGGGGGGGGGGGGGGGGGGGGGAGAGGGGGGGGGGGGGCGGGGGGGCGGGGGGGGGGGGGGCCGGGGGGGGGCGGGGGGGGCGGGGCGGGGGGGGGCGGGGGGGGGGCGGGGCGGAGGGGCGGGGGGCGGGGGGGGGGGGGGGGGGGGCGGGGGGGCGGGGGCGGGGGGGGGGGGGGGGGGCGGGGGGGGGGGGGGGGGGGGGAGGGGGGGCGGGGGGGGGCGGGGGGGGGGGGGGGGGGGAGGGGCGGGGGGGGCGGGGGGGGGGGGGGGGGGGGCGGGGGGGGGGGGGGGGGGGGGCGGCGGGGGCGGGGGGGGGCGGGGGGGGGGGGGGGGCGGGGGGGGCGGGGGGGGGGGGGGGGGGGCGGGGGGCGGGGCGGGGGGCGGGGGGGGGCGGGGGGGGGGGGAGGGGGGGGGGGGGGCGGGGGGGCGGGGGGGCGGGGGCGGGGGGGGGGGGGGGGGCGGGGGGGGGGCGGGGCGGGGGGGGGCGGGGGGGGGGGGGGGGGGGGGGGGGGCGCGGGGGGGGGGGGGGGGGGAGGGGGGGGGGGGTGCGGGGGGGGGCGGGGGCGGGCGGGCGGGGGCGCGGGGGGGGGGGAGGGGGGGCGGGGGGGTGGGGCGGGCGGGGGTGGGGCGGAGGGGAGGGGGGGCCGGGGGTGCGGGCGGGGGGGGGGAGGGGGGAGGGGGCGGACTGACCCCGGGCGGGGGGGGGGCGGGGGGGGCGGGGGGGGGGGGGGGGGGGGGGGGGGGGCGGGAGGGGGGGGGGGCCGGGGGGGGGGGGGGGCGGGGGCGCGGGGGGCGGGGGGGGGGGACGGGGAGGGGGGGGGGGGGGGCGGGGGGGAGGGTGGGGGGGGGGCGGCGGGGGGGGTCGGGGCGGGCGGGGGGGGGGGGGCGGGGGGGGGCGGGGGGGCGCGGGGGGGGGGGCGGGGGCGGGGGGGGGGGGGGGGGGGGCAGGGGGGGGGGGGGGCGGGGGCGGGGGCGGGGGGGGCGGGGCGCGGGGCGGGGGGTGGGGGGGGGGGCGGGGGGGGGGGGCGGGGGGGGGGCGGGGGGGCGGCGGGGGGGCGGGGGGGGGGGGGGCGGGCGGGCCGGGGGGGCGGGGGGGGGGGCGGGGGGGGCGGGGGGGGGGGGGCGGCGGGGGGGGGGCGGGGGGGGGGGCGGGGGGTGGGGCGCGGGGGCGGGGGGCGGGGGGGGCGGGGGGGGGGGGGGGGGCGGCGCGGGGGGGGGGGGCGCGGGGGGGGGGGGGGGGGGGGGCCGGCGGGGGGGGCGGGGGGGGGGGGGGGGGGGGGCGGGGGGGGGGGCGGGGGCGCGGGGGGGGGGGGGGGGGGGCGGGGGGGGGGGCGGGGCGGGGGGGGGGGGGGGGCGGGGCGGGGGCGGGGGGCGGGGGGGGGGGGGGGCGGGGGGGGGGGGCGGGGGGCGGGGGGGGGGGGGGGCGGGGGGGGGGGGCGGGGGGGGGGGCGGGGGGGGCGGGGCGGGGGGGGGGGGGCGGGGGGGGGGGGGGCGGGGGGGGGCGGGGGGGGGGGGCGGGGGGGCGGGGGGGGGCGGGGGGGGGGGGGCGGGGGGGGGGGGCGGGGGGGGGGCGGGGCGGGGGGGGGGGGGGGGGGCGGGGCGGGGGGGGGGGGGCGGGGGGGGGGGGGGCGGGGGGGGGGGGGGGCGGGGGGGGGGGGGGGGGGGGGGGCGGGGGCGGGGGGGCGGGGGCGGGGGGGGGGGGGGGGGGGGCGGCGGGGGGGGGGGCGGGGGGGGGGGGGGCGGGGGGCGGGGGGGGCGGGGGGGGGGGGGGGGGGGGGCGGGGGGGGGGCGGGGGGGCGGGGGGCGGGGGGCGGGGGGGGGGGGGGGGGGGGGGGGGGCGGGGGGGGGGGCGGGGGGGGGGCGGGGGGGGGGGCGGGGGGGGGGGGGGGGCGGGGCGGGGGGGGGGGGGGCGGGGGGGGGGGGGCGGGGGCGGGGGGGGGGCGGGGGCGGGGGGGGGGGCGGGGGGCGGGGGGGGGGGCGGGGGGGGGGGGGGCGGGGGGCGGGGGGGGGGCGGGGGGGCGGGGGGGGGCGGGGGGGGCGGGGGGGGGCGGGGGGCGGGGGGGGGGGGGGCGGGGGGGGGGGGGCGGGGGGGGGGGGGGCGGGGGGGGGGGGGGGGCGGGGGGGGGGGCGGGGGGGGGGGGGGGCGGGGGGGGGGGGGGGGGGGGGGGGGGGGGGGGCGGGGGGCGGGGGGGGGGGGGGGGGGGGGGGGGGGGGGGGGGGGGCGGGGGGGGGGGGGGGGGGGGCGGGGGGGGGGGGGGGGGGGGGCGGGGGGGGCGGGGGGGGGGGGGGGGGGGGGGGGGGCGGGGGGGGGGCGGGGGGCGGGGGGGCGGGGGGGGGCGGGGGGCGGGGGGGGCGGGGGGGGGGGGGGGGGGGCGGGGGGGGGGGGGGGGCGGGGGGGGGGGGGCGGGGCGGGGGGGGGCGGGGGGGGGGGGGGGGCGGGGGGGGGGGGGGGGCGGGGGGGGGGGGGCGGGGGGGCGGGCGGGGGGGGGGGGGGGGGGGCGGGGGGGGGCGGGGGGGGGCGGGGGGGGGGGGTGGGGGGGGGGGGGGGGGGGGGGGGGGCGGGGCGGGGGGGGGGGGGGGGGGGGGCGGGGGGGGGGGGGGGGGGGGGGGGGGGTGGGGGGGGGGGGGGGGGGGCGGGGCGGGGGGGGGGGGGGGGGGGGGGGGGGGGGGGGGGGGGGGGGGCGGGGGCGGGGGGGGGGGGGGGGCGGGGGGGGGGGGGGGGGGGGGGGGGGGGGGGGGGGGGGGGGTGGGGGGGGGGGGGGGGGGGGGGGCGGGGGGGGGGGGGGGGGGGGGGGGGGGGGGGGGGGGCGGGGGGGGGGGGCGGGGGGGGGGGGGGGGGGGGGGGGGGGGGGGGGGGGGGGGGGGGGGGGGGGGGGGGGGCGGGGGGGGGGGGGGCGGGGGGCGGGGGGGCGGGGGGGGGGGGGGGGGGGGGGGGGGGGGGGGGCGGGGGGGGGGGGGGGGCGGGGGGGGGGGGGGGGGGGCGGGGGGGGGGGGGGGCGGGGCGGGGGGGGGGGGGGGGGGGGGGGGGGGGGGCGGGGGGGGGGGGGGGGGGGGGGGGGGGGGGGGGGGGGGGGGGGGGGGGGGGGGGGCGGGGGGGGGGGGGGGGGGGGGGGGGGGGGGGGGGGGGGGGGGGGGGGGGGGGGGAGGGGGGCGGGGGGGGGGGGGGGGGGGGGGGGGGGGGGGGGGGGGGGGGGGGGGGGGGGGGGGGGGGAGGGGGGGGGGGGGGGGGGGGGGGGGGGGGGGGGGGGGGGGGGGGGGGGGGGGGGGGGGGGCGGGGGGGGGGGGGGGGGGGGGGGTGGGGGGGGGGGGGGGGGGGGGGGGGGGGGGGCGGGGGGGGGTGGGGGGGGGGGGGGGGGGGGGGGGGGGGGGGGGGCGGGGGGGGGGGGGGGGGGGGGCGGGGGGGGGGGGGGGGGGGGGTGGGGGGGGGGGGGGGGGGGGGGGGGGGCGGGGGGGGGGGGGGGGGGGGGGGGGGGGGGGGGGGCGGGTGGGGGGGGGGGGGGGGGGGGGGGAGGGGGGGGGGGGGGGGGGGGCGGGGGGGGGGGGGGGGGGGGCGGGGGGTGGGGGGGGGGGGGGGGGCGGGGG